TATGCATGTTATTTGAATTAAATATTAAAAATTATAATTGTTTTAATGTTTATGCATAAAAATGTGTTAATTAAATTATTTTATTATTTAGGATTTAAAGTTTATAGCATTGCATGACCCATTTAAGATTTAAAATTTATATTTACTGACCTTTGAATTTATCAAAAAGAAAGAAAAAGTAGAGGAAGGATGTTATGAGGATAATAAATTTGGAGATTATAGAACAATTCTCTTTATCAGGGCCGATCCAAACCAACGATGATTTTACCTACCTCATATATAAAATTAGATTGATCAGACACAATATTATATACCGTGACATTATGAATCATGTTGGCAAAACACACACATGAGGAAGGAATTGATTTACTTATGTTGTTACAAGGTTGAGTCGAGAATTGACCTGCTCTAATACCAATTGTAAGACCCTATATAATATACATATAGCCAATAGATTATACACGATATTAATTGGTATGAATACAACTTAAGTGTCCAATGGCATCATTATATATATATATATATATATATATATATATATATATATATATATATATATATATATATATATTATATATATATATATATATATATATATATATATATATATATATATATCCAAAAGAATAAAATACATTATGCCACATGTTATAGAAAGGTGCTTAAATAAAAACTAAGACATATGCACAACATCTTCATTGTACATAATTCACAGCGGAAGATCACAATATTTAGAATCCTTTGAAATATCATCAAATAACTTCTTTTATATTTAACCTGTAAATAAACACCTGGAAAATAACAATGATAGTGAGGTGATATAATAATCTCACTGAGTTCCCCTATCTTATGAGTCCACTCGGCTCTAAAGGAATTTATTACAAATTTCTAACTCAAGTCTTCATCTTTCATTAGTTGTGTGCCGCTCACACAACATAACTAAGACTTAAGCATACAAGGGATATTCGCATTGTATGAAAACATGTAACTTGAGTTCTTATAACTCAATAAATCATTATTCAGAAGCACAAAGCATCTTTCCACGAACTGGACCTACGCCTAGGGCAAGGCTCGGGTTACAAATGTTTGAATGATTCAACTTTCATGTGGATTCAGGTTCTCTATGGGACTTGAACCACTTCAAGAACCGCCCCTCATATGGGAATCTTATCCACTTTGAGTATGTTTTGTCGTATGAGACTCTAGCCCACTTAGGTGTGCACTTCTATGGACTCATTCCATAGTTGAGACTCAAAATTGTTGTGAGACATAAATCATTGGTGCCACATCGTCAATTATACTTTAAATAAGTATCTCAATTGGAATGTGCTCGATCAAGGATAATTTTTGAATACGTGATTAGGTTCAACATTCTACGTGATTGCACTCGTCAATTACTAGATGATTATATTCACCAATTCTCATATTGTCTCATCAATCAATAGATGATCACATCCACCAATTCTTATATTGTTCATCAATCAATAGGTGGTCACATCCACCAATCATCATATTGTTTCCACATATTCCATACAAAGCATATTACTTCATCATTCAAGCGAGTACTTATCTGTAATACACACCGAGGTGCCATTGTGTCCAATCATCACCACATAAATCATTTCCATAACATAAGTTATCTTTATATTTCATTCACCTAGTTATACTCATAGATTTTCCTCACTCATCATCATAAGATGTTAATCATTTTATTTCACAATCATCTTATTCAATTCATTCATATCATGATTCATGACATACATCTTATAATATCATACATAAAACACACATGATAGTATAACATGTTACGATAACCTTAGGTAAAGCTATCACACAATTCACTTCAATCTAACTTATTCCACTTTCACGTCACATAGTAAGAGTGTGTCTGATCATCCTATGGCAGAGTTAACCAGACTCAACAATTATAGTTGAATACTCATATATACCTCTCTATATTATAGTCTTCTATGTTAGCTTCCGAACACATCCGTTCCACCTCATTTCGAGTTACGAAACTCATCTTACGATTTCTTTTTAACATAATTGGGTTTCTAGGTTAAAACACAATCAATCTCATGTAGTCCGACTGATTAATGTTAATCTAATGGACACACATCATGATATAAGTTATAGGACTTCCAAGATGCATTAGAATCCTTAAAAATATTTTTTTTGGCAATTTGCAAGTAAACCAATCGATTGGCCTTAGAAAGCAATATATTGACATGAGCTCACTGACTTCTGTTTTTCTGAATTTTAGCAGTACCAAACGATTAGACAATATAGCCAATCGATTGACATTAGTGAAAATCATCTTTTTCTTCACAAAATCATGAAAACCAATCGACTGCTTCTACACCATTCCTCTAACCAATCGATTGTTCCGTGCATAATCTTCAAAAACTCCTATTCTAAACACATCATATTCCATCTTTAACCATTCCAAGCCATGTAAATTCATATACCAACACAAGTTCATTAAACTAACAAACATGACTTCAAGAATCAACATCATCCAAACACAATATCATGATTTCAACACAACACAACATAAAATATGGCAAGGTTTTACATTAAACAACATGTAGCAATCATGGAATCAACACAAAACAATTAACTTCCCAAGTCATGGATTTTCCCCAAGCTAAATCTAACTATTAAGTCATCTTGATGAGATGAATATGATGAATACGATTAGATGAATTGATGGTTATTCTCCCATGACTTTCTTCTTCTTTCTTTCTTCCATTCTTTTCTCTTCATTTCTTCTACTTCTCTTTCTCTCTTCTTTATGCTTCTACTTCTTTTCTCATGCTTGCTGATAGATAGAAACAAAGAATGATGTGGTTGGTATAAAAGGAAAGTAAATGAGTGGATGAGAATAATGTTAGTGATATACACATAGTTCTTATTAAGCAGACCGTTTGAGGAAATTATTGATTGGTCCCAAATCTTCATTGATGAACAGTTTTATTACATTGTATGTGTTGGTAACAGACAGAGGATATTTTCCTACAGAAATAATCTTACGAATCACGTCAGAATAGACGACAAGTTAACAAAATAGAATGTATAAAACAAAGTAAAGAAAATATGGACCACCGTCTTCTTTTACTTTAGCATACTAAGTGAAATGGTGATTGGCAAGGAGGAATCGGTTCGTTGTTGATTGAACTTGATAAAAAGTCAATGAAGATAGTTAGATAAAAAATGGCATGTATATCACTTCTCTGTCAAGGAAAAGCCAATGAAATAGTTAGATAAAAAATGGCTATAATATGTCTAAAAGATGTTGACAATATTGTTACAAATGTATACAATATTGTTAACCAAAAAACTAAACATATAGACAAAACACAACAGAATGATATAAAATATATACAATATTGTTTAACAATGAAAACATAATATTATTTTCTCTACACCATCGTTTAAGAAACACACCATCATACAAAAAGATTACAACTAAAAAGAAAATCAATGTTATTATTTATACTAGAAACATATCTAAAAAGCCTGGTAAAACATGAGAACAACATTGTTATTTAGAAAATACATAATATATAACATAAACCGAAACATACAAAGTGTTTACCATTCTATAACATAAAAATAAAGTGATGATAACAAACTATTATGAGTTTAACAAAACATATAGATCTACAAAATTGTGTATGTAAAAAACAAGTAACAAAAAACAAAAAACACAGTTCAGAAAAATAAGGGCTGCCATAACAAACTCACCTCTTTGTCAAAGACGATTATCTCGAAGTGCTCTTTAGTGTTGGTTATCACATTCAATCTACGGTGGACTTTTACTGTAATTTTTCAAAGCTCCTTCCCGTCGTTGATGTCATTTATCTTCTCAAATGGTATTGCCATGAAAACCAGAAGGAAAATATAGATGAAAGAGTAATATGGAAGAGAATTTTCGGGGATGCTCACGTACAAAATAAAAAAGTGTTTAATAAATGGGGTTCGAGAGAGAAAAAAGAGTGTGATAAGGGTTTTGATAGATGCAGTGGATAGAAGCAAAAGGACAGAGTACAATAAAGTGACGTTCGCTTTTTGGGTGTGTAGAGGTAAATTATTTGTTTTTGAAATTCAAATAATAACAATTGATTTAAATGGAACTCTATATCGGAAAAACAAGACAAATTTGGAAACTAAAAAGACTTTTCAACTGAAATTAATAGTTACATTTGGATCATCCATCAAATAAATTTAAAAAAAAATTAAGACCAAATTTAATCTCAAAAGAAGATGTGTTAGAATTTAAACAAAGATTGGAATTGAGATTTTAAGAAGATGTATCCGGTAAACTTGCAATTAACTAAACATATGTATCTAATAAGGGGACAACTCTAATAATATTATTAGTGAAATAAAATTAGTATATACATGTTTCTATGTTTGACAACTCAGCAGGTAATTTACCCAATAATGATAGGTGGGTAGATAAAAATGTAGCAATATTCAAATAGTAAAGAAAAAACTAATCAAACTGCGTTACTCAATCAGACTCAACAAAGCAGAGAGGGTAAGTGCTTTATTGAGATGGCAGTTTACTCTGTTCTCGACGAAGCCTCGGCGTTGGCCTCTCTTCACGTGACGTTGACGGTTACATTTCCGTTTGCGGTTACGGCTCCCTCCTCTCCGGTAATCTCACTCCACGCTTTTCTTTCCACTAATTACTCATTTCATTCTTTTAACTCTTAACTAACTCTTCAAATTTCACAGAGAAAAGTGCCAGATCAACTTTTCCAAACCTAATTAACTTCCGAACCGCCAGATTAACCGGTTTCCGCCGTCTCTTCTCCGTTGTAGGACCCGTCTTCTTCTCTCACGGCGTCGCCAACCTCAAAACTCACGTCAGGCCCCTTTTTATTATTTATGCTATTCTTATCTGATCAATGGAATTCGAAATATCGAAATGAAGTTTGTGTTCTTTGCAGGAAATTGTTGCCCTCTCTGTTGAACCTTGTGAAGATGAAACAATTATAATTACTGTTTTTGATCTTAACAAAACCGAGGTATTGTCTTTTCTAACTTTTCCTCTTTATAAAAATAAACACTGTTTTCACTAATCAATATTTTTATATATATATCCAATTAATTATGAAGACAGATTCCAGCATTTATTCAAAGAGAGCGTGAATATAGCTTTTTATCTGTGAGTGTTCTTTGAGTAAAAATATGAAATCTAATATTATTCATAACAACTTTTCTTTATTCACTAATCAATATATATCTGTTTCTGATATTGTGTATGGTAGGTTTTTCCTCAATCTCTAGATGGGAAGCCCTTTACCAATCCAGCAGTATGTTATGTTAATTCAAATCTTCCTATTCATTATAACTCAAGTAAAGAGATTTTTATTCATTTAATGATGGTATTGTGGTGTCTTCAATGTAGGTTCTTTGTGCATCTTACACTGATGATGAATTCTTTAAATATAAATGCTCTGGTAATTTTCCAACTAAGCTACTAGTTTATGTGATCCTTATTCCTATGAACCAACAATTTACTTTATGAAATTGCATCTTCATTTTTACAACTACTACTTCCTATCATTTTCTGCTTACACAAATTTGCAACCATGCTTGTTGCTCCCAATCAGTTGTCATAACAGATTATAAACTATACCAATACCTTACAGCTGTGTCAAGTTTTTTTCTTCTTGTTTTTACAGAAGAAAGGGAAATATACTTTCAACAATATGGAGAGTATAATATCCATAAGATTTGGCGGGATGACGCATTACCGTGCCGTGTTTATCTTCGACACTGGTAGGTAGTCTTTTACATGATAAATGATTTCAATGCATAAGCTTATGAGATCTGCCGTAATCTGAACAAGTATTTTGTAAAATTAACTTATGGTAATGAATTATTGCAGTGTCCTAGCTGCAAAAAGCCTCGGCGATGAGGCTTACAATAACTTCTTGGACCATACCTTCATTGCTGATCGAGAAACAACAATACGCCAGTACTTTGAGAAAATGGGCACAAGCATCATGGAAGAAGAGCCTCCCGAATCATTAAAAACACGTTACGGCGGTTGATCAGATCCAATAGTCTACATACTTCACGCCAAGGCTCTAGTTTATTGGCCTTTCCATTTCTCAATTTGATTATCCTCATCTACTTTTGATATTTGAAATCTAGATAATTGCATTCTTTTCAATAATCACATTAGAAACATGTCCAATATTGATGTGCATGGATAAAATGCATCATTGCATGGTGCAGCAGCCTAGCACGTAAAGAAAACTATGTTTAGATTCAAAAATTGTGAACTCTCATTGTTGGTTGCAATTAGGGCTGTTCAAAAAAACTGTGAACTAAACCGAATCACCGAACTGAACTGAAGTTAAAATAACATAACCATTATATTTGGTTAGTGAACCAAACCAATAACTTACTAATGGTTCTAGAACCGAACCAAATTGCAATTAACCAAACATTAACCAAAACTGAACCATTAGTTTTAAAACATGAGAATATGTGTCTTTTTTCTGATTTTGAGAAAATTGCTTCTGGGTCTCTGTCTTTGTAGCATAAAAGGGACTTTTTTTTCTCAAGTTCAGAATTTCTTGTCTTCATTCATTATTGTTGAAGCATTCCACAACTTGCATATTGTATTATTACATAGAGAGAACCGTGAAGTTTGAAGATTAAGCTAAAATCAGTTACTGGTTCTTTAAGGTTAATTGATTTTTTGTTTTTGTTAGTATTCTTTGTTTTGATGATTCTTTTTACGTACATAATTATACAAGTGTTACATGTAAAGGAGCTTGTTCCTATTCCTCTTGATAAAGCTAAAGAGGTTAAAGGTTTTTTTGGTAGATGGAACATAATAATTTCTATATTACAACATACTTCGTTTATCTTGCAATCCATGTTTCTCGAAGAATGCTCTTTGCAAGGAGCAGTTGCAGGCTGTGTCGAATTTGCTCAGAGATGCGATCAAATCGGCTGAGTTGTGTTTGAAGGAGAACTAAGTAGGTAAGCTTCAGATGCAGAGTAATATGGATGCGTTGATTGGGAGAATGAATTTGAATTTATGAGATTGTGGACTTTTGATCAAAACTGATATGCTCGGCGAGGCTACTTTGTCGTTGAATGTGTCTGGTTTTATGGAAAAATAGCATGATTGATGTATAATTAATTACTACTCGATTCTTTAACAAATGGTTCGATTTAAGAAAACTATCTTCTAATAGTTTGGTATGGTTTAGAATTTCGAACCGTTATACCAAACTAATAACTCTGTTCATTTCGGTTCTAATAACACTTTATTAGGGTTCGGTTTGATTCAGTTCGGTTTTCTAATTAAACTATACTATAAACAACCTTAATTGCGTACAAAAAGAGAACCAAAAATTCAATATTAACTTGACGAAATTAATTTGACAGAAAGTAACCCAAATACTTCCGCTCCTACCTATCATCCCAATGAAAGGTGTGCATACCACTCTGACAGTCTGGGACATGACACAAACAACTGTTGGGCTCTGAAGAACAAGGTCCAAGACATGATTGATGCCAAGGAGATCAAGTTTGACCCTCCGGAGACTCCAAACATAATCACTGCTCCTATGACGAATCATTGAAAGCTTTTGTTCATTTGAATTTTCAAGTTATAATCTCTTTGTTACTCAAACAATTATCTATTAATGTCAAACTTTGTTTCATTAATGCATTGCATATGTTTGTCTTGATTTGATCCACTCATTTTCATTACATTTAAACTATGTTTTTTACTCACTTTATGACATTCAACTCTTGTTAAAAGTTACAAGCCTTTAGAGGGAGGATGACGAAACAATGCCATAATCTCATACAGTATGCTTTTGGACAGACCTTGCTGACGATGTACAGGCATTTCTTTTAAATCCTAAACACTGGAGTTATAAGGAAGATAATCCCCAGTCAACCCCTTCGAGCCAAAGAAGTAGGAGTTTTCTGTTTTAGACACAAATTGAAACCTTTAATTTAAACTTGGGGCATGGTAGTCTCTCAGTTAATTCAAAAGATGCGCATTGAAGTCGCAAAACTCTCAGTTCATAATACAACGAACGACATCAAAAGCATTCCTCTGGAATCAAAAGACAGTGGTGGTTCCTTATCTCACAGGCAGTCAATCTCTCAAAAGAAAAAAGCCCACTGAGCCAAACCTATAAAGGAGGTTTAAGAAAGCTGGGGCATCCCGCTGACTGTAATCTCGAAAACAGAAACAGTCAGGCAAAAGTTAGGGATAATAAATCAAAAGAACGAGGTCATTACAAATCCTCGACAACATGAAAAATGTTGCAAAAAAAAATGATGACTGCCTTTAAAAATCCAACTTGTGTGAACCATCACCAAAACGTCGTTCCAAATTCGAATAGAGTTCGACGCACAATTAACTGAGTTTAGGATTGAAGAACATCACGAAGAGCGGGTGGGTACAAATATACTTTGAGCCTTTATCCTTTGTTTCTTAAACCGTGAACCAAGCCACGTTACAACCCTTCAAAAGTCCTAATTGAAGCATGGGTTAGTTCAAAAGCATACTGTTACAAAAGGTATCCTGACTCCTGTAAGGCTTTGCCCTAAATCTTGTGTTGAATTTGTCTTATAAAAAGTTTTCTGCTAAAAAACGCATTTTTCAAAACTTCGAGACAAGCATAAACTTTGCATTATTTGAATATCACTGTTTGCATTTGGCTATTTGTTTGACAGTGGAGAAATTCACACAACGAATATCCGATGAACGAAAGCCCTCTCAGTGAACAAAATCACTTCAAAAAGGATGACACTTTCATTGACAAATCTCCTATCAACAAGGGGACTTGACATGTCACTATCCAGCACACCTGGGGCAGTCCAGTCAAGATTTCAAGAAATCTCTGAAGAAGTGCAGAGTAACCAGGGACAAGTCTCCATCTCCGTCACTTGGGGCATTGAACATCAATCTCAGTGAAGGGTTACGTACAATTAAACATTTTCTGGCAATGTCACAAACACTTGCTACTAGGGGCAATGACAAATCTCCCCAAAATCCTTCTCATAGGATGACATCCCAGCAAGGGTTTAATCTCTGAAAACCTTTCCCCGGCTGAATCAACCTCAAGAATCCTCGAGGACTTCCCCCCAACGAAGATGTCACCTCTCTAGCGGACTGACGACAAGGTTTATTTCCCCAACAACACCAGGATTCCCCAGCTTGGGTTTGCCTCTCCGACTACTATAAATCAAAAGACCACAACTCCTCTTCCCCAGTAGACTACTCTACAATCCCCAGCAAGTTACTGCGAAACCTGGACCCGACCAGATATCAGTTCAACTTCGACTCCCCAGTAGAGCAACGGACGACTAAGACTCCTAAACTCTTTTCCCAAGCAGAAATAAACATACTCCCCGCAGAGTTTTCAATATCCCCCAGCGGAGTTCTCCTCAAACAACAAAGCAGGGATCCCCGGCGGAAACATTTTGAGCAAAGTCCAAGACAAAATTACACTTCAACATTCATAACATATGCATACAAAATACATATGACACAAATCTCATTTTATTTTGAGAACATCATTACACAATGCATACATCATGACAATGCATACATCATGACATTGCATACAACTAACTCTTTATCTTTTCAGGAAATATCAATCAACAGGCAAAGATCATCATCTTCTAAGATTCTTTCTAGAGACAGTTCAGATGCGACCCAGATATGGCTGACATTCTGATACTTATTCCAGACTCCTTCTAGAGACAGTTCAGATGCGACCCAGATATGGTTGACATTCTGATACTTATTCCAGATCCCTTCTAGAGACAGTTCAGATGCGACCCAGATATGGCTGACATTCTGATACTTATTCCAGACTCCTTCTAGAGACAGTTCAGATGCGATCCAGATATGGCTGACATTCTGACACTTGTTCCAGATCCCTTCTAGAGACAGTTCAGATGCGATCCAGATATGGCTGACATTCTGATACTTATTCCAGATTCATTCAAATTACAGTCTAAATACGATCTAGATTCAGATGTCATTCTGTCACTCATTCAAAATACAGTCCAGATACGATCCAGATTCGGATGTCATTCTGTCACACATTCAAAATACAGTCCAGATACGATCCAGATTCGGATGTCATTCTGTCACTCATTCAAATTACAGTCCAGATACGATCCAGATTCGGATGTCATTCTGTCACTCATTCAAAATACAGTCCAAATACGATCCAGATTCGGATGTCATTCTGTCACTCATTCAAAATACAGTCCAGATACGATCCAGATTTGGATGTCATTCTATCACTCATTCAAAATATAGTCCATATACGATCCAAATTCGAATGTCATTCTGTCACTCATTCAAATTACAGTCCAGATACGATCCAGATTCGGATGTCATTCTGTCACTCATTCAAATTACAGTCCAGATACGATCCAGATTCGGATGCCATTCTGTCACTCATTTCAAATTACAGTCCAAATACGATCCAGATTCTGATGTCATTCTATCACTCATTCAAATACATTTCAGATACGCTCCAGATGCAGACGCAATTCTGACAATCATCCAGACTCAACTCCATTCTCCAGCAGCTCCGGGATTTATTTTCCCAGCTAAAACATCACACTTCCATACATCATAATACATGCATGTACACATCATATGGATACAATCTCATTCATTTTGAGAACATCATTGCTTGACCCATATCATGCATTGCATATGACTGACCTTTACCTTTCAGGAAAAGTGCAGTTAAGTTCTCAGCTTAGTCGAAGATCTGACCAGTTCTTAAATCTCAATTGAACTATCATCGGTTGAATTTCAGATAAGGTTCTCAATCTCGACAGTCTCCTCCGTCATAGTGTGGACAAGTTCTATAACCTCAGCGGTATACTCCCAGTGGGCACGAGACAGTTCCTAGATCTTGATGAAGATGTTTCCCTATGTCATAGTGTGGACGAGTACTATAACCTCAACGGTATACTCCTTTGAGCACGAGCCAGTTCCTAGATCTTGATGTTTTCCTCCGTCATAGTATGGGTAAGTTCTATA